GCCCGGGCTGATGGTTTGGTTGAATCGAGCGTGGTTAGGAAATCGATTTCCGAACGAAAAGCACCGTTTAAAGGGGTTAAAAGTGTAATTACAGGGCGGTCGAGCGGACGATTTGCATAATGCGGGTATTACGCGAAGCTGCTGGGATTTGCCGCGGCAACACGGCGAATCGATATCGCGGCGATAAACGCGGGTCCCATTGTCGGGGATCGGCCACGAAAAACTTACCCTCTGGCTCGCGAGTCGCGTACCGCATACGACGCACGCGTTCATCCTCGCAAGTCTGATCGATAGATACCGCGGAAACCGGTCGGGATCTTGTAAACCGGAGTCTTCCCGCACCTATGAACCCCAGGTCGCGAACTCTCCTAACGCGATTAAGAATCCCGTCGCTCGTTCGCTTCAGACTCGACGAGGTTGCTTCGACGATCTCGAAATTCCAGATACTTGCCTTTCGTCTGTCGCAACAGGCACCACGCTCGATCGGTTCCCGTTGTCTTTTCAATTATTCTACACCCGGCAACCTTCCAGCGAAGCGGAGAAATTTCCGTCAGCTAATTACGGCACGGCTGTCAGTCCCGATCGCAGACAAGACTGACGCGAAAACTGACGTTCACCGTGTCCTACCTCCGATTTCCTTCTTTGCGATTTAATATTCGCGTAGCTGATTCAAAAATTCCTTTTTCCTTCGGTTTGGAAACGCGAAATTGGAGATCGGTATCTGATAATATGCATCAGTATCGGAATCGGGTATTGATTGAAGGGTACAACGCGGAGGATGGGGCGAGAGAAGGAGGAACCAGAGTGCCGTAGGGAGAGAAGCGAGGGTCGATGACTGTCGAAAGGGACTGCGATAAAAGGGAGGAAGGACCGAAGGGTGGGAATGACTATTGCTTTGCTCGCTGTCCGCTAATAATTGTCGTTGTTCCGTGGAGAAACAGAGTGGTGCGTTCTAAGTCACGCTAGATGTAAAGAGATCGATAATTGTCCAATTACGAAATTCCTTTGGTATAGCGCGACTTTGAAAAGCAATTTGGATTTCGGGTGATCAAGCAGACGATTTCGTTAATAACTAGGATGATGGTGGTAATTGAGAAGGTGGAACTAAATTTTCATCCATCGGGACAGGACTCTGGCAGTTTCCAATCGCGGTTTATAGCATCCCGAGGCTATCCCGAATCCAGGATGGCTAGCTCGAATCGAGGGTGAATCTCGAGAGTGAGTCATCCTCGCAACCCTGCGAACTTTCCCAACTTTCTTTGGGGAATGTCTTAAGGGGCGATGACTCACCGATGCCGATCGAAGAGCCTCGACCAAGCATCCTCGCCAGTGTCGCGATCTAATTGTTGCTTTTCGCCTGTACCCGCTCGTTCTTTCGCTAAATTCCCCGCCCTCTTCCTCTTCCGCTTCACGCGTATCGGCGCCCTTCCAGGAGACAAAGAATCTCGGTGTCGCGAGCTATGGTTTTATCGATTCGCCAAGGAAAGGCTGGCAGCAACGCCAGAAGACATTCTCCCCAGCTGTGTTTCGCGAATCTCGCGGAAACACGTGCTTCGAACGATCATTTTTCCCCCAAGCTCCTTTCATTTTCCGTTCGTACGCGCGATATTCCATTCGAAAAAACAGCTCCTTGTTTAACGGAGGAAATTCCGTACGTAAACCGCTCGATGATTTCGAAAGGAAACGTAAATAATTAAACGTTCCATAAAAGCGTGATCGACTCGCGCGTGTTCCAAGAATACAGCGGCTGGAACAGTGCCGGGGTGTTGATAGTGGCATGGTTTTGGTAAAACACCGATTCCATTGAACCGCGCGGACTAAATTTAACCCTGTCTATAAAATATACTCCGTTTCCGTTCATAAGTCACTCCCCTCAGTTCGTTTACCGCGCCTCTCAATCACGCGTTGTTTCCCAGCCGTCGAATGGTAGAGCTTTTTTTACCGCCGGATCGCAAACGGATCGATCTGTAAATCTGAAAACGAAGTAGGAAAAGGAAGGTTCGTTTCACGACGGTATCGGTTTGTTTTTTCAGCTGGTAAACGACACGCAGGAAATCAAGTTTTCCGAGGGTTAGAAACACGGGAATGAAAACGTTTGCGAGCCGGGAGAAGTTTCGATGGAAAATCGATTTCCGGCCAGAGCTGTAGGATCCCGGTGCCGCGAGTGACACAGTCCCCGTGGTTTTCGTTGTCCGCTTTGTTCCCGCTGGAAAACGGAAGATCGATGGAATATCGAAGCGAAGCTTGGACGTTTCCGCGGTAACTTTGTTCCGTTTTGCGTTCATTTGCACGTACCTCTATTCGGAATTCATCGATGCGTTGGAAATGCTCGGAACGTCCCCTGTTCGCGCTCTCGTCGATGGAAATTCAATTCTACCAGCCGGAGGAGTCGGTGATTTCAAAGTCGAGCGTGTAATTAAAAGTCGTCGAGACGAGCAATATCGCTAGCACCGCGATCGTTGCTTAATTAATACTCGTCCGAGATTGAAAATCGAGACGTCGATTACCGTTTTCTCGCGACTGTGTTTCATCGGAAACAACCCTTACCGTTGACCGAGTATCGGTTCTAGGAAAAAGGAACCTGCGCGCTTTTTCTCGATCTCGACCGATTGGAATCGGTAAATTTTCGATAATGAACGTGGACGATGAATGGGACGGTGATAGGTTGGATCTAGCGACGCATCACCGAATTCAACCTGCTCTCTATCACCCTACCAATCGCGCCAATTACCACGTACGTAACTCAGCGAGAATTTACGGTCGCGCGATCGTCTATAGGGAAGATCGGGCTATTTCGGTGCGGACACACCGAAACCAAACATAAAGCGAAAATGGAACGAGCGGGCTATGGGAATGAACGGTGCACGCGATGCGTAACCGGGGACCCCGTCTACGCAAATAGCCGAGCGACTTGAACGGGTAGAACTCGACCTCTTTACAGCCTACACGCGTTTCTGATCGCACGTGCGCGTCTCGCGATCATTTCCATCTATGTATTCCATGGATCATAGATCGAACGCGAAAACGATTCACCCGCGTCGATTGCACTTTCGTTTCACCGAACGGGGTGAACTCGAGTCATTTTCCAGCCCCCGTTCCATAAGGGCAAGCGTTCGTTGGCAACTTTCCAATTGGATTTTTCTACGAATAGCCGCGATCTTCCGCTGGTTCGTGACTTTCTTCCGGCTCGATACGAACAGGGTAAATTGGAAGGAGCAGCGCGGGCTGTACAGTGTGTTCGAACGATCGATCGCGTGCCCGTGGTCGTCGATAATTGAGGCGTCGATGTCCAACTGGACGCGCGAATCGTGTGTATATACGCGATACATGCAGGCGCTAGCGGCGCGCTACCCGTTGGCAGCCCGCCAACCACTCGTCGCTCTCGATGCCTTCGGTGTTGACCGACAAACAAAAGGGACCTCGATGCATTGTCCTCGAGCATCGAATGCAGGTCGAGGATCCATCCGCCATCCAGCGGCCACCTACCGTCCCACCGATATCTCGAACTCGCTCTATCGTTCTCCAATAACTTTCCTCTCTTCCAAATAATGATTTTCCACCCCCCACCCTTGCAGTCTCACGACGCGCGAATACACGCCAAGGAAATTTGACGCACGATTAAACCGAATTCGATAGAGCGTGTTGCGGCAAACTTTTCCTCTTCGTTTTTTTATTAGTCCTGCAAAGGAGAGACAAATTGCCGGAAACTGAGAGGGAAAGAAAAAATAAGGTTTCGATCGTTTCAGGCGACTGCGGATTAACGTTAACCAGACTAATCGAGTGGCAGGTCAGGTAGCGGCGAAGGGTTGCGAAACGGTTGATCGACGCGAGCATGAAACAGCAATCGCGGCTTTTAACGCGCCACCTCCTTCTCCGCTCAATTTCCTCCCTTTTCCTATCGTTATACCCGACTGCGAACAAGGATCAATCGATGCTACATTTTCCTCGATTTTTCCTCGAAACCGATTCGGAGAATCGGATGGAAAAACGATAGGTAGATACCCGGGTTAAATCGTTTCCAGGCAATTTCGAACACTCGTGTTTCCGCTACTCCTCGCTACGTAAGCGGTTAACTTGGAGGCGTGCCGGAAACGGAAATAACGAGCGACAACGCGATACATACCGCGTTGGTGCACGCGAATAAGCGCTTGTCTCGAGATAAATCATCTCCTCCAAATTGCCGTAAAATGCAAATTAATTCGTTCACGGTTTCTACCTTGCAACGGACCGCTCGAGATATACGATGTACGTAGCCCATGACCAGTTGGTTTCTTAATCAAAAGGTCGTAATGAAATGTACGAAACTCGTTACTCTCTCAGTGTATAACACGCTTTGCCTTTTCCATCAGAGACTAAACTCTAACATCGAGGAGAAGGACGTGCACCGATCGATGCAACCGCTGCAGCGGTTAATTAACGTTCTCCGATGTTTGCATCGCGATGCACAAGATCGATAAGCGAACGTCAAATATCGGACTGCGATTTACTCTGATTAATTTTACTCTCGAATAGAGATCCTCGATACATTTGTCGAAGATTTTCGCGTTAAACAGGATCGAGAAAGAATAAGGCCAAACTCGAAGTCGAACGACAATACTGTTGTTGGAGGTAACGAACCCAGCGGTGCGCTAACACGCGGCTATGAAAAACGCGGAGGCCATTGTGAAGGGAACAAAGGGAAAGAAAGGCACTGCGGCGAATGCACTATTGGAACGTACACGCGGGGAAAGAGAAAACTGTAGGCACTTTGCGTCTTTTCGCTGTCGTTACAAGCGTCAAACGCTCCATAGAAAAAGAGAGGGTGGACACGTTTGAAAAAGTTCATTGTTCTGTTTCGTTAGTATACGTTGATAACGAGTGATAGCATGTAAAATATAAAGCGATCGAATCTCTGCTTTAAATTCCAGATCTCAACGGTGTCTAAAACGCATTTCCGGCTCGACGTCGGCGTCGACGACGACGGCGGTTCTTCTCCGTTCGGTGAGTAGATCGCTTTGACGCGTTGACGGATTACTCGCGAGGACGATATTGCCGGGGCACAATCATTTCACGGATCACGGTACCGTTGTACCTTTCGCTGTTCGTATCGTCGCGACATTATCGAGAATCGCGGCCTCGACAATGGTACCGGTAACAAAGGTTTCCACCGTTCTTTTCTCATTTTCCAACATACAGATATTTTCTCTTCTCAAAGTTTTCGAAACTTTGTAGAGAAATTCGACGTCGAAAACACGCGAAGGGAATGGATCGTGGAAACATTCTACTACGATTCCTCGAGGGTGGCTTTGTTCTCGACTAGTCACGGCACTGAAATAGCCTAAGAACATGTAATTTCATCAGAATTCGTTTTACTCGCCCTTCTGGACGCCTTCTTTTTCCCCTGAGAAAGAGAACGTAGGGCGTAAGACGTAGGGTGTACGACCCTTGTTGCAAGCCAGATGGTTCCTCTTTCAGGTCCGCGCGATTTCCCATTACCCTGTCGACCATTCGTCTACGCGGGTTTCCTCGACCATCGCCATCCGGAGGAGATTCCCCTTCGCGGGAAAGCGTTACTTATCATTCGACGCGTTTCGATCAATTATTTATCGGACTCGTACAACAATATCCAATTTAACCCCCGTCTCGTTTCATCATACGCGATTTCCAGCCGTTTATCGGCTCCTGGAGCGAGGACCGGATCAATCCTCCGCTCGTTTCAGTTTCGTAGCAAGCTGAACACAGGAAAAATATCTTCCAGTAGAGAATAAAAGGCTGACAAATAGGTCAGCCACCTAGAGATTACGTTTACGGCATCGGAAATGATTGCGCTCTGTGAAAATAGACTTTCCCTCCCTCTCCGTTTCCTTTCTTCCCCGTTGTCCCGTTCTCGCTCCGGTTTTCTTAGTCGGCGCGAGATCAAACGCAAAAGGGGTGCTTTCATTTTCTCCGTTCGGGTCAGTTTTCTCGGCAAGGTAGTCTCCGTGGCACGACGTTCTCTTTTCGAGCCTTCTGGTAATGTAAGAACGAGCGACGTGTAACCATAAAGGAAATTCTACCCGAGTAATCTTCTCGAGAACGCTGCAGCTTCTGTCGTTAAAGAAGCGAGATACTAAAGAAAGATTCGGTTCGATCGGGGATCGCGGAAAGGAAAATTCATTTCAGATTCGTCAAAGTTACAAAGTTCGCCACTCGGAGCACCGCTGAATTCCCTGTTTTCTGAATTCACGGGAAGGTGACTGAACATTCCTTCGGCATTTAATCCCGCTGCGTTCGTCGCGCGGTTTGCGAACCACGCGCGCTCAGTCAATTCCCTCTCGAAGCATTCGAGACTCTCGACTCTATGTTAAAGGGGTGAAAAACAGAGACAGAACACGCTGCGGCAGCGATCATCGCTTTGCCCTTTTCCTCCATCCGTGCGCCCGATTTCCCAACCCTTTCCTCCCTTATCCGTCAGCACGACAGAAAAAATACACAGAAATCGAATGCACGGCTAACTTTTCGACAATCCCGTCGCGTATGCGATTCTACCGAGATTCCGTTTTTCCCGGATGTCAGACAGACCAGCCATTATCTCTTAACGATGTTTGCACAACTCTCGCCGCGAAATTTTCCGAGATAATTAACGTCGGCGCCACCATTCATTAACGAAACCCCGGTAACGCGGCCCCCGCTATCTTTCGAAGCCGATAGACGAGGTATCCTCCTTCCGCTCGTTTGCTCCTATCCTTGGAGAATAAATATCGAGGGATCGACCTGTTGGTCGTGTGCTCGATAAGCGAGAAATGTGCATCGTTGTCTGAGAAAGAGGTAACAGTTAACCCGTACGAGGGGTTCTCAAGGACCTTGAGAGCTAAGGGGAGTTTCATCTACGGAGGGAGGGAGAGGGATACTCGTAAAGGCACTAGAATTATCACGGTACGCTAGCCCTCCTCTGTTCCGGCTCTTTTGTATCGTTCACGATTGTCGTCGGTAGACGCAACTACGCAATCATATTCGTGGTGGTGAGCTTTGTCGTTCCTTCAACCGGCAAACGCATCGAGATCCTCGCGGTTCGAAACGGAAAGAAACTCGAAACGTGACTTCTCTCGAACAATTTCACGCGTCCCTATTTTCCTTCGCTCCCCTTATCCTCTTTCCCTCCGCTTATCGGCAAACGACTTTTAACCGAGCTTCGTATTCGTTCCCTGTACGTCTCTTATCTCGAAAGAGGAAAAGAACGCGAGTTCGACGAGTTTTCCTTAAAAAAAGGAACAAATTTCTTTGGCTAATTCGTTCGACCTTTTCATTTGTTTCAGGTAACTCTCAGTAACCGTCAAACATGCCAAAGCTTCGCGTCGAGCGTTCTGAACAAACTCGTTCGAATCAGTAATACGTTCGAAAGGGAAGGAAGCAGAATAATACTCGGTAATTAGAATACTTGACGCGTTCATGCATTCCCGTGCGTGCGCCAGTCGATTGTCCGATGATAATTGATCTTTGCACGCGCCGCGTTCCCTTCCTCGAGTTCGATCGGCGAATCTGCTCCCAGAGGAGCGTAAAACTCGAGGCTTTACAGTGGCGTGTTCGCGGAGGGTCGAAGGGCGCGAGGGCGTAGCCGAAGGGTTCGAGCGAAGCCCATCGAGCTGCCGAGTTTTGCGAGCCAGCCAAGGGTATTCCGGTTTAATTGCTCGAGCACGATTCGATCTACTCCATTCGATCGATTCTACTTTTTCTCTAAAAAAAGGATTTATCAATTCAGCAATTTCCCAGGGCCGGATAAAACTGTATTTCGTGGTGAAATTGCATCAAAGCGCTTGCAAAATACGCGAAGAAGGAAGAGAAAAAGCACGGGCGTAGATGTTTTAACCCCGCGGGCAACGGCGTATAAAGAGGGGGAAAGGGTATATCCGGTGGGAGCAAGGAAAACGTGGAAAAGGGAACAAAGTGTCCCAAGAGGCCGAGTGGCCTGATAGATATAAAACGTGGAAACGACGTCGAGTTAGAAGACAACGACTCCCTCTTTAACCGTGCAACAACCCGTTGAAAATGGCGACGATTCTCTTTTTTAATTATAATACATGGACTTCTTTCCCAGGAGCAAGATGTCAATGACGGGAAGCTTGATGGGCTACGAGAACAACAACGAAGTGAATCAAGCGAAATGTAAGAAACCGTTGAAACCGCTTCCGATAGTGTCCAGCATAAGCTCGAGCGGTGTTTCGAGCACCGCGAAAGCGAGGAAGCCACGAAGATCGAGCAGACAGAGTTCCTGTATACGAGGCCACGTGAACAACCTGTGGTCCGTTTGGTACGGCATTTTAGCGGTCGCGTTTCAGGCTTACATCGGGCTGAGATACGCGAAACGTTTCGCCGGTGAGTCGAGTATTTCGCCCCTCTTTCATTCCGTTTCGCGAGGAAAATAATTTGGAAAGTTTCGATCGTTGTTACAGCGTACTTGTCGTTACCATGGCCAGCGGACGCACCTCCGCCGAAGGTAGAACTGTACGCGTGTCTGGTGCTGGCCGGTACCGGGGTGGTGCTTCTTCCGGTTCTCCTTGGCGCGGCGTTCCTGAAGCTCGGCAACCTTGCCAACGACGGAGTGAAACTGGGCCGCCACTTGAGCGCGTGCTCCCGCGACCCACCCTCGTCGCTGCTCACCAACAATCTCGACCACAGTAAGTACATCGTCTACCTTTTGTACGATCCGTCGTTCGAACGGTGGTCGCAACGTATGCCGTGTAAAATACTCTGTCCCGAGGGCCGACTGATCCGTCCTCGATTCGCTCGCAGGTTTGGCAAATAATTTATGGAGGCACGGAGGTCCCACCGCGGCCTTTCTACACCTTTGCACGGCCATGTGCTTCCTGTTACCCTCGCTGCTCATGGAAGCCAGGCTGATACACGCTGGATTTCTGCCAAAAGGTAATAACGCACGAAACTAACAGCTTCCGTGCTCGAGTGCCGTTTTTCAAGTACCATTTTCCTCCCTCTCTCGATTCGTCAAATCGATCATCGGCCGACTGAATTACCAACGCGAGGGAGAATCGAATAAGTAGTACGAGTCAATGTGTCGTCGGACGAAATAGAACCGAGACGAGGTAAAAGTATTTTAGAAAGAAAACTATAAACGTCGTCGGGATGGTCGTTGAAAAACCCTTGCGAAAATAGCCTAAAACGAAGGAATCTAGACTTTTCGGTTCGTTTGTTCGGTGGTACCGGTGTAATTTCTTTGAAAACTGGCTGCCTTTGAAAAATTTCATCCCTTAACGAGACGGAGAAAACGGGGGGAAAAACGAGTAAAGGCGTGGACCATCTTTCGACGTTCCGTTGTGGGGTCGGATAGAAAGGTAGCTGGTAACGTCGTTTGGAATATTGAAACAGAGGGAGCAAATATTTTCCTCCGCATCCACTCGGAACGGCAGGGGCTTTTTTCTAGGAAACCACGCATTTTTATTCTCATCTTCGCGGCAAGTTGAACAATGTATGCAATTTGCAAACAGACGCAGTAACCACAGCGTGTCTATCCGGTGTTTTATTTGTTGAGAAAGAAAATAAAGAAGAAGGGTAACTAATCGGCCTGCCGTTAGGTTCCGAACACTATCGCCACGGTGTAGAGCGACTCGCGCACGTAGAAAGGACGGATGGGGGATGGGATAGGGAAGTAGGGGGAGCGCGGTCGGGATGTAACAGGGCAACTTCGTCCTGACTACGTCCTGGTTCGCGTATTGATCGGCCAGGTGTGTGCATACGGTTTGCCACAGGATTCCTCGTCTCTAGAATCCTTCCTCGAATCGTCTAGCCGGGAGAGAGAAGTCTCTCCTTCCCTTCGACAAATTAGTCGTACGCGTAATCTCCGTTACCTTAGTTTTACCGATCGATCAAACCCTTCCGTCGTCCTTTTCTCCAAAGAGAAAAATTCCAAAGTTACGAATGAATTTCCTATTTTGCAGAAGCGATATGGCGTACGGATTTGGATTGGCTAGTGATTCACCGGGATCGACTGGTTGTATCGAGCTTCATGAACCCGAACGTGAACCTTAGCATTCTGACCGGTTTCATAACTCCTCAGCCTTTCGTTACCCTGACACCCGACGACGAACCGAACGACGTAATTACCACCTTCTCAGATCTGGATGTCGTCGACAAAACGATCGAAACTAAAAGTCGCGAGACTACCAACAATTTTCTCGGCTTGTTTCGACCACCGAGCACCGGCCTACCGCCACCCAACGCGCCAACTTCCAGTCCCAGCACTACTTCCGGTTCGCTCACCAACTCTATCGCCACCTCCTCGATCGATCCATCGACCACGAGGGTGACGAAAACTAGCGCCAGCACGACTAGGACGTCGACAACGACCGCGACGTCGACGACGATGAAATTCAGGGAAACGGAGGAATCGGAAACGACGATCGCGAGGACGACCTTACCACCCTTGTTCCCTTCGTCTACACCGAGTACTTTGAAGAGCACCACCGTCAAAAATGGATACCCAGCCAGGCGACCCACCCCCAAGACGATTCTTAGGAATAATAATCTAAAGAATAGGTCGAAGACGAAAAATTTCACGAGACCTTCGACGACGATCAGACCGAGCAGAACGACCGTCGTCTCCGCTGGAAACATGACGGCTCAGAGTATGTCCCTGACGATGAACAGTCTGGCTGATTTGGATCATCCGGAGAAATTGAACCTCGAATTTCAACCCGGTAAGATTTTTACCATTTTCATTCTTCTTCTGTTACCTCGTCTAATTATAAGGTCTTCCCTTCTGATTTCTCTGTTCTCAGCCGAATCTTACGGACCCATCACCTTGGAGTACCTGAATTACGCGATCGCTCTTGGCGTGTACTCCGTCAGGTATCCCGCGGTGTTCTGGTCGTGCAACAAAGCATTGGGCACCATTTTCAGTTTTCAATTGGTCATTAATTCCGCCCAGAGCTTGCTAGCTTACGTTGGGATGTCTGTTCTTTACAAGGTAAGCAACTTCGATAGAGAAAAAGGTGAGACATCCATTCACGCTATTGTATTTTAGGTTCAAGTTATGGGACCTTTGAAAGTGTTGCCTGTTCTTCGGCAACAGTATCGGACGATTTCGACCAGCAGCAGTATATCAACGATATTCGGAGACTCTTACTTTTTATTAAATCCACATGTCACTCTGGTACTTTTCGCTCTGTCTTCTCTGTTGGTACTGTGTTCGAGCATGGTGATGTACTTTTATGCTTACGGCAGGTGAGTTTTGCAGTTGTCAGACAATTTTCAACCTCGAAATCCTGACTATTTATGAACTTATCTTATTTTGTCTTCAGATTCACGGCGTTCCTGAACCAGGAACGCGAACGTCGAGTGATCCTGTCGAAGGAGAACCGCGACAAGAACGGCTGGGTTTATTTTATCCATTGCACGGCTCTTTGCGTGTTTCTAGCGATCGCGATATGTAGCGCGCCGTTGTTGTACGATTACAGCGTCGTTTATCGAGGCAGTTTGGACGGTGCCATCTTGGCCTGCATCGTCGCCACCGTTCTCCATTTGTTCCTCTGGCTGGTGATCTGGATCTTTCTCACCATTAAACAACGGTGGACGTTCAAATTGAGGGTGACGATCGGTCGCGCGACCGTCAGATCGGCGAGATCGGTGAAGCTGGTGACCGACGTGGATCTTTTGTCTGCGAGGGACGAAGAGGACGGTACCAGCGCGCCATTGCTGGTGGTCGGTAACGGCAGAACGTACACTATTGCCGACGCCTCCCCGAAGAAGGCCATCATGAGCGTGATACAGAAGGCGGCGATCGAAAGGAAAGCGCGCTCCCAAGGTAACGAACTCTTCACCCAAAGTCCATCGAAAGACCTGTAAAGATCGATTTCTTAATTAGATTTAATCCTCAGGAAACACTGATTCGGTCGACGGAGAATCGACGGTCGACGACGAACAGATCTATTGGTTGAGACCAAAATTACGACCGTCGCCCACCAGGTCGCCGAGCGACGCGAACGGTGTGGCGAACGTGGAAAAGGGTTGGCTGAACAAGAAATTCAAGCCCAAGGTCACCTTTAACGACCTGCCTAGTACGTCAGGCTCGCGGTAACTACCCTCCTCCCTCCTCTTGGTGTCTTTCGATGCGTCTCGCTGTCTGCGTGTCTTCCTGTCCGCTTCTCTTCTCTTCTTTCCTTTTCCACTTCTGTCTCTCTATTTTCACTATAATCGACTCGTTTATCATTCGACTTGTTCGATTCCTTAGGGAATCTCTTGCTTTAGCTACTATCTACTTTTGCCAGGCTTACTACTGCTCTGCCCTCGATTCCTACTTCTAATCTTTCTTTACTTCCATCAATCGTTTGTGCGCTTTGAAATAAAGTATTAAAAGTCGTTGGCTCTTCGAAGTTGATATCAAACAGCAATTGCATTAAGGTAATTAAAAATTAACCCCGAAGAGTTAACGTAAGGCCAACTCGCTGTCGCTTATCTCTGTCTGTAATCTTCTGCTTTGGTGATAATATTCAAGGTACTTAGGATCGGTAGTTAAAGATTTCAAATCATCAATGTTAGATCATCACCGTGTTTCTTCACTTTCTCATCTGTCTTTTTTTTTCTATCTCGTCCTTTCTGTCCTCGCTAACCACCCCTGTCTGTCTACCTCTGTTTCTTACGTATACTCGTCCCTGTAATCAAACAAAGGAATACCTGTACTCCACTGTCCACAACATTGTAACGTAGTTCCATGTGCGTTTCGTTTTCAGTAATAAGGGAAAAATCCGACGAGGGACCGGTGATGGGGGTCCCGAAGACGACGGAGACTACGCCACGCTACGGGAACTTCCGCTGATGACGTCACTGGATCCGGCCGATGATTCAACGTCAGAGGAGAACAAGGTACTCGATCGTTTCCTGCTTCTTTCTTTTACTTTTCTTTCGTAATCCACGAACTGGTGCTTCCCTCTTGGTCATCGCATCTACGCAAAATATCGTTCAGTTTTAAAATAGGTCTCACAGACCGTATCGTCTAACCCGTTTCGGCTTTTAATCAAAGTTTCTTTTGCTTTTGACAGTGGGGAAGATGGCTGATATCCCGTAGGGACGGTATACCTAAATTTGGAGACGTAAGGCGCACCAAAATGTGTTCTCCTGTTTGTTTTTTTTTTTCTCTCTTTTTTTCTCTCGTTTGATTTGAACGCATCGAATTAACGTTAACGTTAATTAATTACACGCGTGCGTTTATGTGGGTTTTTTGAATTGCACACTAACATACGTTTAGCGTAGAAAAGTAGAATTTGAAGTACAACTGTTAAACGGAAGCTAATAACACACTACTTTCTTTGACTTTCGCGACCGGATTCGGACGTTGGTGCACGTTCATTAATTATTCGAAATTCTCTAAAACTTAAGATACCGAAAACGATTCGACACAAAACCGTCACACGCAACATAGCTTGTCCTGTTTGTTTCTCGTTGTTAGAAAAAAGTGCTGGTACTTCGGTGTCTATAGAACAATAGGTTGACTAGCAACGCTGCACGTGTCATGAAACTCGAATCATACGAGTATTATTTCTTCCTACTTGGCCCTTTTCGCTCTCCCTTTCCCACGTCCTCCCTCCGTTTTATTTTCATTTCCCTTGGTCCCCGATTTTCAAAGAGGAAAGTCCCTTTTTTACGGTGGGACGAAATTTCGCATTAGGTTGGATAAAAGATTAACCGTTGCAAACGTTTCAACAGCTACTCGAATGCGTGAACGACGACCAGGTGACTTACTACGCGAGCGCAAATCGCGATCTACAACCTTCGGAGGGGGACCCCTCGCCATTGTTGACACCAGACCCTTTGCCCGATCCCACCTCGGAGCCACTTCCACTGCCACCCCCGACTCCAACTTCTGCACCGAGCACCGAAGTTGTTACGACGTCACTAACCGCTAACACCCAGGTACTAACAATCTTCTGGTCTCTGATTCACCCTTGCGCTTTAAATCCTTCTACGAGACACGCGCGTAACAATTAGCGAACGGTAGGTGATGAAGCTAACAGTTAGACTAAAGATAAATGGATCGATAGATTTCTAGAATGGAAGTAAACGGAAAAGTGATGGTTCGTTTCAGACAAACGGAGGGCAAACGCCGCGATGCTTGCGTCGAGCAGACTCGGGGATGCCACACGAAGAACTGACACCACGTTCGGACTCTTCGAACTCTCCGCCGATGGATACCGTGACCGGTTGCGGTGGAACAGGCTCGGTCACCGGGCACAGTAACACCAGTAGCCACAGCGAGACATCTTCGAGCGGTGTGCACAGTAACGCGAGCAACGCGAGCAATGCCAGCAACGGTAGCTGCCAGCGACGAGCGACCAGCGTGGACGATCTAACCGGGGAACAACGGAATTGCGATGATTCGCGAGAACAATGGCGCAGTTGTTCCCTTCAACGAGGCGTACAACCGCCTACCGGTCCCGGTACCGCCACCTTCTTATCGAACACCGGTCGAGCCGGGACCAGTCAAGCCTTCGCTTCGCCGCAGTACGCGAACCACGTGCCATTGTTTGTTAACTCGAACTCGAATTCCAGTTCGAACTCGAGCGCGAATTTAAACGCGAGTGTAAACGCGAACGTGAATGGAAACGCTACCGCCAGCGAGGTGGTGAACGCGACCGGTGGTTGTCCGGCGGTTATCGTGGAAAATCCAAACGAGGCGACCGTGGTTATACGTCGCAAGTTGTCCAGAACGAAGCTGACGGAACCGTTGAATCCTAACGAGGAACCGTTCGGTCGGTCCACCAATATGAGGATGGTGTCTTTCACGGAGAGCAACGATGTCCGCGTGCACACGGCATCCGCGACTCTTCCCCATTACCCGACCCAACCCGCGGTTACCTTCCCTCATTGCTCCACCATGCCTTTGCCTCACGGTTCCCACAGCATGGCAGGTTCGCACATGGCCGGCTCGAGCGGAAGCTGCGGTTCGGTACCGAGACACGCTTTCGTTCCGCCTCAGGTTCACGCGACCGTTCCCGCTCACACCACTCTACCCTCCCATCACAACGGTGTCAGACTTCTGCACCCTACCCCGCAAAGCAACCCTTTCGTCAAGAGATTCCCCCCTGTACAGATGCACGGGCAGCCCTGGGCTCTGCCCGGCGCGCTGCCCGGTCACCACACGTTTCCCCAAGCGCCGCAGAATAACGGCAAGCTGACAGCCGCCGCTCAAATCCGACAGACCGATCGAGACTCGGCCAACTTCTCCATGGCCAGCAGCGGCGACTCTGACACGTGTTTGCCTCATTGAATCGAACGCGCGGACCGTCAGCTTCGTCTATCATTCACCGCTTTTCACTTCCCGCTACCCTATTCTTGCTCTCGCGGTTGCTTTTCGCGACACTCGATCGACGAGAATGCGCGCTTCTTCTCCGGATCTTTCGAAGACTGAAAAGGTTTCCGAAAGGGCTAGGAATTTCGTACCCTTTGCCCGACGCAACCCCCACTACATATCATATCCCTCGCGAATTCAAGCACCAAAGAGAAGAACGTCTGACGCGTTACGTTTTTTATTTTTATTAATACTACCGTTCGTCAGCACCCAACTTCTCGGCAGTTCTTCCATATCAACGATCTGTAACGTGGTACAGGTTCGTCAATTGAAAAAGGAACCAAACGGATACGTTTGTGCGTCGACGATCTATATCCTAACGCTAACGTATATACATATATGTATACTTATAACCACACGTATTTAAAGAGAAAAAAAAATGTACGAGACTCGTCGCAAACATATCTTCCGCGAGTCGACGCTACAACTGTTCGCGCTTCTAACGATACCGTGTAAAGTATCTACCGATCTTTCGACACAATGGAAACCTTTTCGCTCTTCAAAGTTCTACGCGTTATCGTGCTTTCGTTCAAAGTCGCTCAACGGGTAGAACGGATCAAGCGAAGGCGAAGCGATGAGAATTGAAACGTAACTTTTCTTTGTAAATTTTCTTCGGACACCTATTCATCTTATATCGTTTCGTTTCGTTTCGTTTCAACGAGACAAGTTTCTCGGGAAATCTATTCGATCTTCGTCGTACGTCCTCTTAATTTTATTTATTTTTTAATGTATATTTATTTCTCCTTTCGTTTTGTAAATAGGATTGTCGTTTGAAGTTAAAAAACACGACAAAGAAGGAGAGAAGAGGAAACGAAAGAATGAATAAAGGATAGAGCGTAAGGGTTGGTCGCAAAGCGACCGGTTAACTAGTATTAATCTGTAGGCATGTAAGTTCGCGATGCGATTGGTCGCTGATTGTTAAAAAGCGTTCGAGAAAGAACGGGTTACTGCCATTGATACTCGCGCGGATCTTTGGATCTCCATGATATTCGCTTAATTTCGTCGACTGCCACGTTCTCTCGTCCCGTTCCGCGAGCATTCGAGCGCTCGAAAAGCACCCGCTTTCTTCTCTTGCGATCCACCTCTGCGATTCATCGTCTGCGATATCCAAGCGAAATATCGCCTTTGCGTTTTCTTTCACGTTTGCGTTCGCGTTCTCGGCAATTTTATCTTCTAGACGGGATCGAAGGATACACGATCGGTAGGAGGAGATGCGCGGACGAACGATAACGTTCGCCACCTTAACGACGACTAAGGAATCGAAAAAGAAAAAAAAAAGAAAACGAATCTGTACAATATCGACGCAACGAGGATATTCTGTTCGTCGCGTGTATATCGAAAACGACCGTTCTTCCTTCCAAGATATAATGCGGATAACGAGTTGTATTCGCGCGTACAAAGTGTTTCTAAATCGCGTTAGACAAGAGGCGACGCTGTTCTTAAGGTAATGCACCAATTAGCGAAAGTCAGATTCGTCGATAGAAAGCAATTAGCAGTTTAGACTTCTTTACGTTTCTTTCTTTTTATCTAACGCGATCGCCTCTGAACAATACGTAGACGTCTGAAGGCGTTTCGAACTAAACGGAGCTCAAGCAAATGCAAAAAATTTATTTTTCACTACCTTGCGGTCGTTTCGGACGGAGAAAATCGAAACACATTAACCCGGTGCGTACAAATGCGTTTCCCGTAGTATTTCCTAAAACAAAGACGGAATCGAGATCGCGATTCGCTGGAGCATCGAACGAAACCGAACTTGTACAGCTGTCTTTTTATACGTGATCGTGCTCGTAGGAATTTAAATCGTATTTTTTACGCACTTTTTCGAAACGGACTCGGAATTCGAAACGTTCCCGTCGGATGTATCTCGTAGATCGGTTAGATTGTTAGACAATCCGGTCCGTTTTCGCTTTCGAAACAAGACGGATACCCGCAGCTTTCTCGAATTTTTCCTGTTTCCGATCGATTAACCGAATATATCGGCGATCGATCGGAACCCGCTACCGACGTAGCCTTATGGCTTTCGCGTTTCCGATCCGTCGGGACGGCTGTCGTCCTACCGACAGCTAGGATCGGAAGAGGAAAGCACGTTTCGGCCTCGCAGACGCCAACAGAATCGAACGCTTTTTCTATCGCAAGGAAACCTTCCTTTCCTCGATGCGAGCCAAACGAACACAGATATCCTTCATAGATATTTTCTTATTTTTTCACGAACGAATTAGCCCTCGTGGAAGTAGTAGGACCGCGTGTAAGATATCGTCGCGAATAGTAGAAAAATCGGTGAAAGGAGTTTAGCGAACACGGAGTTGCTCGAACTTCGTAAAATCTTTGTTTGATGAGCGGAGAAATGCTTGAAACTTTTTATAATCCCCATACCTCGTCCTCGGTAGGATCGGTTAGACAAATTTCTCCTCCGACAAATCGGAAAAGATTCAAATCTATTCTTCTAGGATCAGAAAGCATCGATACGGGTGCAGTTAAAGCTTTATGGTGTCGAGTTTCTCGATCGAAAGCTTAAGTGAACCTGCAAACGATAAAGCTTTCACTGTATTTGAAAATATTTTTCCACGCGAACACATTCGTACACGCGCCCAATCTAAACGCCTTCTTCTGAATGTGTCGATACGATATAAAACGCGCGATCGCGTTAATCTCGGTTTCGTCTTTGTGGGACAGATTATACCTAAGCGTAATTGTAAGAAAAGAAAACGCGTCGACGATCGAGTAGATAATTAATAAAAAGGGAACGAAACGACGATCGCGTTGCGATCGATGGAAAACATATCACGACGGAAGGACCACTCGTTACTTCGGTAACGTATCGTGCCGCGTGTAATGTAGAACGAGAATAATTAGATGCAACGCGATTGATTTTTCTTCATTTACGTTTCGTTCGACTTGCCATTTCGCGGGTATCATCGCGTTCGTTAACGGTCGTCGGCGTGCTCGTCATTATCATCGCTATCATCGACATCATCATCAACGGAGGAAGAGTGATAGAAGCAGAGGAAACACTTAAAACAATAACAACTGCAACAGCAATAGCAACGAAAGCGTAAGCAACAAAGTTTTGGAAGAAAAAGAAAAAGAAGACAACTCGGATCATATCGATGCTGCGACTCGCAGAAATATTTTTTTACCGTTTATCGTCAAGCGTCTTTGCTATTCTGTTCGTTTTAGATCCGGCTAGAAGCGAAATGCGCGCAAACCTGTACGGTCAGAAAGGTCCGAAGGGGGTAGTTTCCGCGAAAAGGATCGACAAGAATCTTGGGGATCATCGGGATGCTTCGGGGGTCAAAGAATAAATGTGCGTACGTTTGCGTGTGAAAATGTGGGGTATGCGTGAATGAGCGTTTCATTCAACCCGTTCATCGTCGACGATTCCTCCGAAGGTTGTAAATAATTCAGAGCCGAATGACAATTCGTGGCCAAGACGAGAGACAAAGAGCGAGGATATACGATGGAAGTAAGCGACGAAAGGCGCGAAAAAAAAAAAAGAAATGAAACGGATATGTACGAATAATTGTATAAAGACTGATTAGACTAACCTTGGTATTTATTCTAATTCGCAGTTAAACGCTATCGCTTTGCGCGCTCTCGAATACTCACGGAGCTCGATACCAAAGCTATTCATTCCCATGGAAAAGCTTCCATTTTTCTCTTGTTCTTTGACTCGGAACATTTCCCACCCTCGACTCGACCCATTTTCGTCGGCGTCGCTCGCTCTTTATCTCCGGGTTCCACCGAAACTACGGTATATCCCTATTTCTTTAACGCTTCATCGAAAAAAAGAACGCAGTTTTCTTCTGTTTAATCGAAAATACATCGAATATGAAAAGAACGTGGGGGAAAAGAAAATTCGGTGGAACGGGGTGTTTTTGCGTATCGTTCATGTCTTTTCTAATCGTTCCCCGTGATTAATGCTCCTGTTCCGCATTGTTGTTCCATACAAACGCGATTCGTTCGGATACAGAGCAAAGAGAAAAAGAAAAATGGTATGCGCGATCATAACAGCGACATTATTATCGTCACAACGTATCAATATTATTCGACGCATCGTATAAGCAAGTAAACTAGATGTAAACTTTGTATATTCATTTACCAAGAGAATAAAGATAAATTATTCGAAAATAAAACAGCGGCCAAACGAAACGTGTATCTTCTATTCAATGATCGATAATCATCGACACGTCGATTATTACTGAAACGATCAAAAAGTTAGAAGAGCGGTGTGAAATAAAAATTGTTTTTTCCGCCAACTAAAGTTACTTAAAAATTACTAAATCAATTTAATATTTCTTTTTTTTTTTTATATTAATAAATTGATCGGTATAACTCGTTCACCGCTCATCATATCCTCCCCAGCCTCAGTTACCCTTACCTTCTGAACAACTTTCTTATCAATTCATTCGTTCGTACGTTTATATATTTATATTTATATTTATATTCATTTTATTTCCTTAGGACATTGGTAAAACAATTATTTACATAACGCTGTAATAATATACTATGACTAGACGTATTGACGCGTTAGGACTGTCTTGGAAGTATTTTTCTAACAACGAGAGAAACAATGTCAATGTCAACAGAGGGAGGGCTCGGTTCGCGATTCTCCAGGAATTAATTACGTCCGAGTGCAATTTTGTCGCTTATCCACACGAAGAAAGTGGAAAAGCAGTGGGTTCGTTGTAAATGTGTTCTCTATCTTCGCTCGAGTCGTTCGTTGATCGTTTACATCGTAATCCGTATCTACTAAATCTACTTTGTAACAGACGAAGATCGTGCTACGCGTTATTCTGTCGTGTAAATTAACACGTAACGTGGTATAAAATGCTAGGCGATTCTATGCTTTCGATCGGGGCCGCTATTCTATATGGAACGCTTCATCCCTAAATTCATCCATTTCCGATCGATATCGATCCTTAATTCCTGTAGAACGCGTCGATAACGTGGAACGCGCGAAGCGTTCGAAAATCGTGTGCGAGGTCTACGAAAATGTGACGCTGCCATTAACGTAGAAAAAACGACAAACGACCACAGACCGCTGGCTCGGACAAAGGGGAGGAAAAACCGCGTAAACGAAGTCATTTTCCAAACTGTACCCCGGACAGACATCTATTCGCTGGAACAAGATACTGGCAGATACAGGGTGTTCGACAACAGGTGGGCAAAATTTTAAGGGGCGATTCTAGGAATCAAGATAAGACGAAAATCAAGAATAGTGTTTGCGGCTTTGTTTTTCATTGATTAACGTTTAAAAATTCGAGTAAAAAACGTTAATTACTGGAAAACAAAGCCGCAAACGCTATTTCGTTATTCTTGATTTTCGTCTTATTTTCATCCCTAGAATCACCCCTTAAAATTTTGCCCACCTGTTGTCGAACATGTATTCCCACGGGATGAACGATGCAGAGGCCAACTAAACGCACGACACGTATACTTATACATAACGTGTATACATAGATGAATACATGCGTAGGTGTATACGCGTGTACACGCGACGATATAAAATCTACGGTCATAGAGTGAACCGGGTCGATTTCGAATAAACGACGCGTTATCGTCTCCTTATCAAGATGTTCTTTTCCATTTTCATTGATCGCTCGTTCGAAAATTGGCGGACGATAAACAGGTCCGAAGGACGGGTACGTGGATTTCGATACAACATATGGTATTGACTTTGATTCGTACGAGCTACGCGTATTAAGGGCACCCAACAATTGATCGCAGTTGCGCTAAAGAGTATTCTCACAGTCTAAAGATAATCTATCTAAGATAATATACGTATATAGATATATATACTACTAATTGATCGCGACAACGGCAGCCTTTTCGTCGATATATAATCACCAATTTTCGAACGTACTAATTGCTCGTACAAGAAGCGTCGTAATTAAGCGAACGTAATCGGTACTCGCGTATCCGCGCATAGAAACGCGTCGTTTCGTTCGTCCATCGACCGATCGCCTAATTTACAATAACGTTTCCGTTCAATCGCGGCTTATCCTCCACCCTTCCCTTTCTTTTTCCATTTCACGTATGTACACGCGTGTAATTGGAATCGATTCGGTCGATCGATCGATTCGAGCACCTCGTTACGCTACCAAGTACGTATCAATTCGCCTGAAGCGCTAACGATATAACGTAGTGAACAAACACGTTCGACAATCATAAAAATTTAAGCTTCTTATCTTACACTATTTTTATGTATACGTAACGTGTATGCACGGGTATGTGTGTGCGCACACGTGCCGCACCTTTGCTGCATATCTAACTGCATCGACAGGAGACGCGTGCGCGTACATATACATTGATGCGTAAAGTTTACGCTAAAACGTCTGCACAATCCTTGCGGTCCTCGCGGAATACGCGCGCGTTTTCCGTTTCTTTGCCGCCTCGATTGTCGGGAAAATCGACTAGAGTACAATGGACTCTGGTTATATCGCCGCAGACGCAGCTGTAGTGGGTGAAGATTCGTGATGCTTCCAAGCTCTCGTTTGGAAAAGGAGGAGAGATAAAAGTGTATCGTTTTTGTAGACTACTAGTGTGCTTGAAAAATTGCGTAAAGATCAAATTGCTCGCATGGCAATATAACTAGAGTCTACTGTATACGAAGCAGCATGGATCGCGATCGACGCGAGGCGACGGATCGCGGGATTTTCGAAACGAAACTACCCCTCGCTTATCGATCTTGAGGATCGCGCAGCGTAACACCTTGTAGATACTTTCATCGGATAAGGCTGCGTTAATTATTGTCTTTTTTGTTTATCGTTCGTGCTCGTTGAAGATTTAATTCGCGCATTCCTTTCAAGCTTCATCCTTTTCTCGACTTCCCCACGAACCGATCCTTCGACACTATTGCGCCTATCTTCTTCTCGATCCTTGCTCGTTGGTCCGTTCAACCACCGCATCGGGAACGCGGGAAATTATATTTTCTTATTTTCACGATCGATGCTTTACTCAATCGGCCGGCAATCGTTACTTCGTTCACAATTTTAACCTTCCGTTGCTCGAACTGAGACGACGGGCGAAATAAAATCAAGAAGAGGGAACGACGAGGAAGACGAAGAAGAAACGAATAGATTACTCTATAATTTACGATGTTTTTCGAAAGACGAGCTCGATACCGTAGAAAAATAAATTTCAATCGAACCGTATGGAAGTACGAAAACTTTCGGGCCGTTTATAGTATTAATTATCTTTCGATGACGATCGATAAGGCGCTTCTTTACGGAATTTCAGACTTATTTTTCGAATTAGCGAGAATTCAGGACTTTCGTTACTCCAAGCTATTTTCTCGCTATCGGAACGATCCTCGATGGTAAAATAATTTTCTAGAATAGAATACTTGGAAAATATTCTGGAGCTCGTTGGAAGAAAGGTGGAAACGAATGGAAGGAAGAAAGCGAACGAACGAACGAACGAACACGCGGACGGACAAACGAGTCTATGCATAAATTTAAAGAAAATCGAAGAGACCGGTTCGTTGTCGTTGATCGCGGAAAAACATTGTGCGTCCGTCGTATTCATAGCCAGCTACCCGCGTAACCGACCCTATTCCTAAACGTATCTACCTATTCGTTGCTGACTACGCGCGTCTAATCAGATAAAATACGTGTTCGGCTCGAATACAGAGAGCGATGATCGCTAATGCTACGAACGAGCCAGGACGCGTGGCTTATCTTACGATACAATGCGAGGAGAATCGCGTTGAAAAAGTATTTGCCGCGATAATTCCCTAATCGTGCGATCCATTTTAGCGAGAAAGACTTTCGACGAAACTCTAAAGGAGATAATTGGTGAATATTTGTTTTATTCGTAAACTGCCCGATACGGTAGGGAACAACGGGGAAGAGTCGAACGAGCAGAAAGTATAAAAAAGTATAAAACGATGAAAGGAAGAAGAAAGTTTCTATACACGTGTATAATATATTATTTAAACTAGATTTAGGCGAACACAGCTACCCGTAACGTTTACGGCTACGGCTACGAGCTAGATTAATCGCGTTGGTCAACGAGAGTCGTATCGATCGCGTGTATTTTTTTTTATTATATCCGACCAGATCGAATCGCGCGATCGACGTTGCGATCTCTCTCTGCGTCCACGCTACATCGCCAAACGAACCCCTTTACACCTTCGATCGTTCCTCTTAATACTGATTAATGTATTGTCCGTTTAAGCGATTCCAAATTCACGCACGCATACCGTGCGCCTATTCAACGATTTACACCTTCTCGTTTTCTTTTTTTTTTTCTATTTTTTAATTTTGGAAGAAGACGTTCGATAACATCGATACCGCTGGAAGCGACAGTTTATCATTACGACGCGACGAGCAACGATGAAATTAATAGTGTCTTATCAACCTTCCCCCAACCCGGTTTATTCCCGCGTGAACGACAAAACCACGTCGCGTCGCGCCAGTTTTTTATCCGGCCAGGCGCTTCAATTCCAAGGCAAAACGGTACGAATCGACCGTTTTTTCTCCTCGCTTTAGCTTTTCTGTATTTCTCGATTCCAATTCAAAGCAACGGTAGAATTTTCCAAGATAAAGAAACGAGGAAAAGGGATGAAGTAGGCTAGGACGAGAGTAAGAAGTAGGCTAGGTCGAGATAGAATAGGGACGGGGAGAAAGGGTGGAAGAAAAGCATCGCGTTTTATCGAACGAATACAACGCGTACCGATGAACACGTAACGTCGAGTCGCGTCCGTTTAAAAGGCGCTTTTGCATACGGGAGGATTCATCTCGCCGAAAACGTTTAGCTCGTAAAGCGAGGCGAACACGATAAACACCAAGTACCAAAGCATCAATACCACTCCGTATCGTCGGTCCAACTTCCAGCCGTTCAAGTGGGTTGCCAGTACCAAGAATACCACCGTCGACAACAAAGACAACGTGGAATACGTCAAACCTGGTGGCGGAACAAAATCGGGAGAACAATACATTGAAGTACACGTACACTTACTCTCCTGTTTTTCAACTTACCTCGACTGGTAACGTTCACGTGCGAACCCGGCTGAATCATAGCCGTCTGGATGAACCAAGGAAGTCCCAGACAGACCAGTATATCGAACACGTTACTTCCGACCGCGTTGCTCACCGCCATGTCTCCCAGGCCTTCCTTGATCACCGCCAACGAGGAGAGCGCGTCCGGCACGCTGACACCGGCCGCGACGAACGTCAAACCCATCACCGTGTCCGGTATACCTAGAGTACTGCCTACGAAACGAAAGAAGCAACTCAGATCTATCGAAGGAACCTTCGGACAATGAGGAAAGCCGCTAACCGATGATCGTGATCATCCACACCATGATGTAACTATAGAAACTGATCCAAACCATGGACACGCAGAACGTGAAGGGATACCAGTTTCGAAACTTCTCTTGTCGGCAATCGGGCATGGTGGCTCGACACAAGAAATGAATCGGATAAACCAAACCCCAGGTGAACAGAGACCATTGGCTTCCGTCGGTAGGCCTTTCCAACGGGGATACTTCATTAGGATCTGGCTCTTTCGCTTTGTAATACTCCGGCTGTTTCCGGGTCGGAGGTTCGTTCGTTTCGGGACCACCTGGTGGTCCGGCTGCTCCTGCCGTTCCTCCTATTTCTCCTATCAGAATGGAAGAACGATTCAGAGAAGGTTTTGGAAAATCGTGGCTCCTTCGTTTACCTTCCTGCATTTTATCGAACTGATCCGTGACCGGCGAACTCGGACCCGTGTAAGATAATCGGTCTTCCTGTAACGATTTATAGCTAACCAGGGCGCTCTCTTCCGCAGGTTCGTCGTCCTTTGGCAAGAACGGTATATCGTAAGACTTTGCCCAGCGTTCCAGTCTCGCGTTGAAAGAAAGCGCGACGCAGTAGACGCCGTACATGATCAACATGAAAAGAGACTCCGTCCTATAATATCGAAATCGTTATATTTTCTTGTATGTAAAAGGTTCTTCCCTCCGTATGTGATTAAATAAATAAATATGCTTTTTTTTATCTTACCAAGATATCGATTCGTTGTAAATTGTACCGAGCATCACGAGTATCGAAACGGCGTAGAAGAAACAATCTCGACAGAGAGGCCACCAGTTCAATTTGGACGCCGTGGTGGTGCACAGCCCGCAGATGGAGATGACGAACATTATGTTGAACACCGCGCTACCGATCACTCCGCTCACCTGTCACGAACCATTACTAATTTCCTCCTGTTAATGAAATGAAAGAAGCTTCCCTTACCCCGATGTCGTCCTTGGCGAAGAAGACGCCGATCACGACGGTCGCCAATTCCGGGGCCGAAGAACCGGCGGCCATGAAGGTTGCACCGGCGACATCCGGAGACAGTCGTAGTTCTGCGAGCAAATAAAATATCGATCATCGTTTCATATTTATAGATTTGAAAGATCGAGCGCGAGACACGCACGCGCTATAATGCGACAGACGTCAATCATCCGTCGCCCATCCGCGTTCCCCCTGTAAGGCGTTTTATTACGTTTCCATCAGCAGATGATATCGGAGTTTGCATATATTTTTCGAATAAGAAAAAGCGTTGACGAAATCGATCAGCTTCGAAGGGAGAACGTTCGTTTACCTTCGCAGATTCTGTCCAAACTGGAGACGAAGTAATCGTCGCAGACGATGGCCAGGCCAAGAAACGTGTAAACAGCGACTAGGATATGGATGATCAGTCCACCGTGTTTCCTAGCGTTTGGGCCCATTAAAGGTCGCGGAAACTGCTCGATGGCCGGTGGCGAACAATTTTCCCGTCGAGGTCTCCAAGTGGCGCGTTCGTATTTCATCGTGGTCGTCGTCGGCACCTAAAATCTCGAATAACGAATACCTCTTGTAGGCGCTACGGTTCAACTCAGCTCTCGCAACCGTTTCGTTCGAAAGAAAAAGCGGAAACAGCAGGCTTTTCAGAAGAAAATACCGCGTTTAGCGTCTCACCGTTGTTGTTCTCGGAACGTTCTTCAGTAAATGCAATCCCGCATCTTTCCCCCGTGTTTCCTCTTGCGATTGTCCCTGCACGTTCCCCGATTTTCCTCGCGTAGGCTTTTCTTCTGATTTCAACGGTTTCTCCGCCTTCGGTGGCTCGATATTCGTTTCCTCCGCGATCATTGGCAACTCCGAGGTAGATTCCACCGTCGAATTGTCCTCCTGCTCCGTGGTATCCGGATAGGAGAACGGTAACTCGGTTACATTCTCCGATGTTACGTACTGGACCAGCACGTAGACGAGGAACAATCCTATACGCAGTGGCCATCGTTTGCGTCGCGAATTACGCAATTGGTTCCTCATCGTTCTCGGCTGAAACAACTGTATTTACCGATTTTCATCGCGTCGTTAAAAATTCTACGAACGCGTGTACCGATCAATTTCTTTCTAATTAAATTCATATTTTCGTTAAGACAAGATGCGTTACGTAAGATTTCTCGCCTCGCGTTTCAATGCCAAACGGCTTTACGTAGGATAAAATATAGAGGGAAGATTAAAATATGTTCATTCGGTGTCTGACAGTGTACACGCGCACACGCATTCACGTGCGCGAAACGCACGTGGAACTTTGCTTAATGTACGCGAAAATATTTGTACAGTTAATTATTCAGACCCACGTGTCTCTGAACACTTCGAGTACCAGGACATTTCAATGATCCCTAGGAGAATATTTCGCGATCGGTTACGCCTTTGGTAGCCTCTAGTCTCGTCTCGTCTCGTCTCGACCATCGTTGACCCCGAACGAGATACGCTTTGAATACGAACTTTGTTGCTGATACGATAAAAAAAAAAGGCGAGAGATTATTGAATTTCGATCGAAAAGTATTACCTAGATTCGCCGTCGAAGCGTTGGTGCGGTCTATCGGAAGTAATTGCAAACGATATATAGGTGAATAGGTATTTCAAGTTGAAACACGCGAAACGATAATCAAGTTTCGAAGGGCGTTTCTTCGAGAAGAAAGCGATCAAGATTAAAAGGCGACGGAGTTTCGTAGGAAATTTCTTTTTCCAAACACTTACGTCACGCAATCGAATGGTTACACCGATGCTCTACGCTGCGATTCGATAACTATACCCACCGAAACTAGGGTTCGAAGTAAATAAAATTACGTGGCGCGATTAGTGCGGGCGAGCGTAAAAGCGCGTGCAGGGCAAAGTGGTAGTGAAAGTGACCCAATTCGAGGTTCCGAGCGATCGTTAAACGTCGACACGAGACCACGTACATATCGTACACGTACACGATTAACTCGCCGCCCGGCTACGGATTACGGCTTACCCCTTTCTCCGATACGTTGCACATCATTCGTCAGCGGATCGTACGATGGTACCGGTCGTAAGACACGAGAAAAGGCAACGATTAGTCGGTAGGACCGAGCACTCGGTATCGCGTTTACACCAGCCGAACGCGTGCGTGCAAACAACCCCCTTTCTAACGCGACGGAACGCGACCGGGCGACGACGAGTCGCCGTTCTTTCTCTATCACTCTTCTCGCCGATAACACTCGATCTATGTTATTTGTACTAGAACGTCGTAGCACACTGTCGCCGCGCGTCCTACTCGAATTATCGATTTACATAAAAGCTGTGGGTTACGGGTGCGTTGCGTTCTCGACGTGTTCGCGCGCCGCGTAGGCGTAGGCGGCGGCGGTAGCGGCCTCCTCCTCCACTTCTTCGTTAGCCAGCAGGCCTGCTTACTCAACCACCCTCGAGTTAATATCGCCTTCGCAACCCCTGCTACTCATCCTCGATCTTACGTTCGTTCTAGCTCCGAGATACATAGAAAAATTTGACGATATATAGAATACGATGTTCACCCTCATCCCTTACTATTTTTCTTTTTTTATTATTTTTACTTTCGACCGTCTTGCGTCCCGTTTCTCCTCCTCCTCCTCTCTCTTCTATCACCACCCTCTTTCGCTCGATTGCTGTCCTTTCCCCTTTTCTTTGACCTTTACTTCCACCCTTTTCTCCCACCCTTTCCCTCGTTCAGCGGGTTTTCTATTTCACAAGAACAGACAGGACACCGCCTAATGTCGATACACGGTTCTCGCTTCAACGATCACTACTGCTATCTATGTACCTTCCATCGACCGATATACCCTTTATCGTTCGCCACTCGGCTGCGAGCGCCGTTCACCCCGTTTATGTGTTATTCGCGTACTACCCTCGGACCCACTGCCTCGCTCTCACCCTTTCCTCTTCTTCTCGCCATCCCCCTCTTCAGCCTACATACACACACGTACACTTATTCCTTTCCTTTTGTTCGCATCCCTCTGATACCAAGTATCGCGTGGATACGCGTGCGCGTCCCTCTTGGAATCTCACGATGGCAATCCACGGTAATGTGTTTTGTCGAAACAAATTACAACTTAAGATTAGGGAATTTCCAGATACAAAAAGAAAACGAACGAGATTGAGCTGGAAAAGGAGTGGCAAATTACCCCTATGATAAACGAACCCGCTAGGGTTGTGACGCGAGAAAAAATGTATAGAAATTATGGATATAAACTTATATTTTCATCGTGTCTTTTCTATTCCTTCGTATTCACTTAACATTTGCAACATATTTCATTTATACGATTTAGAAAAATTCAAATTCGCCGAAATGCAATGTCCTACTGTTTCTTTTGTTACTACCATCAGCGTTAAATAAAATAATTACAATTTACAAATTGCAATTACCATGGTTACATTAAATCAACGCAATACAACAAACGACACGCTTTCGTACATAAACTTATCGCACGCGGACAGACACGTACGAAACAAGTAAATAATGTGAAGGGTATTATTGCGTGTACGAAAACGTAGAAAAGTACTTACCATTTATCGTTAATAACATTTGCATTTGAACAGTAGTTGCGATATTAAAGGCACGCACGAGGTATAGCCATGGACAGGGTATAGGATTCATCAATCGCGTAATGCTTTTATTTTTCTTGTCTCGAGCCTTGCCAAGCTTTACAGCCCCTTACCATTTTCCTATCACGTACTACTGTATCGGTCGAGACAGCTCTTATCTCGCAGCGCTGTTGATGGTAAGAATTGAAATTAAAAAAACAACGATAAACGTTTGTTGTTCGAAACAAAATTTTAACGTAAAAATGTATCGCATGGATAGTATAAGCAAGTAATCGAAATAATAATTGTACCAATCTCAATATCTCCGTCCAATAGCTATCGTCGTGACATTTTCATTTTTATTACAATTAACGAGCAGCACACAGCATTCCAGTAAAATTAACACAATTTATAAATATGTTCTGTGACACGCGTTCAAGTTCATCCCTCTGGAACGTATACCGATAATATTAAATCTATTAACTTTGATTCTGATTGAACTTTACAGAATAACCACCGCTATTTGGATCCTTTTGCAATTCGAAATTATTCGTGGAAAGTCCGAAAGGTTTCAAAACCATGTTTCCTAAGTCCTTCAGTTTTCCGAGCATTTCAGTTTTCAATTTTTCGTTTCTTTCTTGGATCAATGGAGGTAATCTCTGGAAACGTTCAACGATCGATTAGCGTTTACGATAATTATTAATTAGAGAAGGATGTCATTTCGTCGTAATTACCCGAACTCCGTAATTTGCTTCCGTATGCGCTGGATCGAACGTTAAAACCTTCTTATAATCCTCTAGTGCTTCATCTAATTTTTCTGCTTCTTCGTACAACTGAGCTCTTCTAACATAGGCTTTCACATAACTTGGATTCAATTCTATGGCCTTTGTGCAGTCGGATATCGCTGATTCTTTATCCTATTTAAATTATAGAAGATTAATAACAGAACTTTATCTCCAAGCTTCCAATTGGAATCTTGTTAATGATATTCCATCCATCAAATAGCAGTACCAGACATTTAGACTTTGCAGCAGCTCTGTTGGCATACAAAATGGATCTTTCTTTGTCGTATGCTAAGGGACAAGTCTGCAACCCTTGCGTGTACATAGATATTGCCTCTGTATAATCTCCCTTTTTGAAAAAATCATTTCCTTTGTTTTTCAATTTCTCAGCCTCCTCTTTGAGAAGCTGGAAAGGCATGCAAGATTAGTGTTAGGTGTATGTACATGCAGGTAGGTACACGCAAATGTGAGCTGTAAGTATACAAACTTCTTTTTCGCTTTCGGAAAGTCCAACTTCTCTATCTTTTAACAACTCCTCGTCGACAAAATCATTTGGAACATCGTGTTTATCGGTTGTTTTGTGTTTGACATCGTCGTCACTTTCGTCTGTGACAAGTTTACAAGGATCGTCCGCTAAATTGCTACTGTTCACTGTTGACTCTGCATTACTGTCTTTTGATGCGGAGTTTTCATCTACCTTGATACAAGAACCTTCTAGATCTTTCGTGAGCTCCTCTATGATCTGTTCGTTTGTTTTTAAGTTTTCGGATTTAGTGTCCATCGCAGTACCGTCTTTTTATCTCGATGACTTTACACTTTGTTTAAACATATACAACTCAGTTCCTTAAGGTTATACTAGCTACATCATCACACGCATCGAGAGCAGACGACTGAAATTATCTGTCAACGACCGTTGCCAGAAATAAGGCGAAAATGGCTGCATGCATCCTTCGGTGAATCAGCGATTACAGATAAGAGAAGACCGGACATGCCTTTGTTTTCGAGGGATCATGATTTTCAGGGGTCCTAAAGACCCCCAGATGAAATTAGACGGTGGTCAGGTGTTCCCCTATTTCGAGAAATCAACCGGTAACTTGTCGAGTAGTTTGAGTCTTTTTTGAAAAGAAGACACCAATTTCAATATTTTATAACTTTCTGACGATTTGGGTAAAATAAGGACCAGAGTGCGATTCTTTAAGGTAATGCAAGCGTCGAGGCTGAACTCCAAATTCTTCATCGGTAAAACAGGCCATGTTTGATCGAAAATTAAGCTGAACAGAAACTGATTTAAGCGCCACCTGAATTATTGCACCCAACTAACGGCATGCTATACTACGTTACCTTTCACAAAAACCTAAATGACACATGTATGCTATATGTATAAGTACATAATTAAACAATACTGACCATACATTCATTATTATTAATTTTCTTTCCGTAAAATTGTATTTGCAATGTGGTACACTTCAGAATCTTAAAGACATAGTTCCTGAAAAAAATATAACAGCGATTAAATAGAAAAAAAAGCATTTTCGCAGCCAATTCGCTCGTATTATTTGCTGCATAATTAATAAATATACCATAGAAATAATGATACAGTTATTAATTAGTCATCAAATAATAGCGATTGCCCAGGTCTCACCACGGGGAGGTTGCTGCGGGTGGAGACCCGCCCTACCTCATCCCATCCACCCTCCATTTATGCAAATTTTTATTTGTATTTTTATTCAATACCATCATCCTCTTGATGCACATTTGCAAAACGTTTTTGACTGTTGTGCAAACGAACAACAAAAGGAGCATTATTTCTATTCACTACCTACCTATCTACTTATCTATACATATATTTACGTAGATTTTTGCTTTTTATTCCTATCGCAACATTTTTTAATTTTGATTTTGATTACAGATCTGTAATTAATAAATATGCAATTGCATATTTGTCCTACATACTTATATTACTAAGAATGCCTATCTAAACGAGCGCTCGTAATTATATTAAAAATTCGCTTAAATCTAACGCTTCCTAATTAAACACTACAGTGTTTGACGATTGTATCTTAATGACCATATACATAAATAAGTCCAATGAATTTGTTGATTTTGTTGTCCTCACTAGAATACTTCCTGAAATAAAACTGAAAAGGATTAAACATAATTTAAGAAAATAATGAGGCTCGTGTAGCCTTAATCATAAATTTACAACGTGCCTGAAACAAACAGGAAAGATTAAATACAATTTTTGAAAATAGTACGGTTCAAATATTACCACTTATAAGAATCATTTTTCCTTTTCACTCATTTTCACCTTATTTTACTTAATTGGATACATTGAATTCCATTTATGGACGCTAGTCCAGACTAGATTACTTCCTATAAAGATATTTCTCTGTAACAGAAACTGATTAATTGAATCCAGATAAAGACAAAGAAAAATTAATAGCTGGAAAGAAGATACATTAGTAACAATAAAATTTTATAAAAGTCAGAGTGGTTGTTAATAACTTAAAATCAATTTGATACGAAATATGAATTTAAAACAAACTTCAGTACCAAAATAAAGAGAAAAAAATTCAGAAAAATATATATTTGAGTTAAGAACATTAATTATTTCATTTTATTGTATTTAATATTCGTTCATTTCGCGACAAATAGCACACAATATTTTAATTGAAACAACTGTCTTTTACTGCAATATATAGTACGTACAACCACGACTCTACTCGACTTTATTGCATTATATTATTCAATACACCTTTCAATGCAAATTTATTGTAAATGAAAAAACTGGAAAGAAACTCACGAGTGGACTTTGCTTTTGAGGAAAAGAATTTGAAAATTTATAAAAGTAATTTAATTAGCTTCTCCATAAGCTTGAAACAAAACATCGCGATTAAAAATTAAAACTGAACAACCTTAACAACGATCATCCACTACTTTTGTTTAAACAAAGTACAATTAAAATTAAATAAGCAATTTCAAATGAACAAATATTCCTTGAAATAATTTATCACCAATCATCACAAAATAAAATGAACTTTCATTTTAAATAAAACTTTGAATAAAGTTCTATTTAAAACTTTATCGTATTTAATAATATTCTGAAAACATTAAATTCATATATTATTTAACAGTATTTCCAATAACCGAATACTCAATATTTTCAAAATTAAAAAAAGGGAAGAAAAAAGAATGGGGGCATGACAGTGCGAGGGAGGGTAGAGGGGAACCTGAAAAGAAAAGTTTGACTGCCCATAAGAGCAATCCCTAAGCAAACCCTATAAAACAAACCGAAATCACACGCAACACTAATTTTAAAATTGCAAACATTCTGAACTATGACAAAACATCGGCTGGCAACGAGGGGTCTCACGCCCCCTAGACTTACGCCAGACGCTACATACCACCCACCCCGCCTGGACGTCGTAACGCCAGGACAGAGTGCACCCCTTCGCTAAGAGCGCTACCCGCCCATCCAACACGTTGCATCCAACGGTGTCAGATTGACGGACGCCCATAGTATAGACAAAAGGACTACAGTTTAGAATATGGTAACATATTTTCATATGTTCCGTATTCTAAAGCTGCGCCTGCAAAGGCCTAGTAATGCATGGGTATATCTCCCAGAGATGGTGTTCACGGTCTTAGGCCGCGGAATCCAATGGATTCCCACCGAATGTGAGTCATAGTTACTTCCACTAATTTAATAAATGCAAAAAAGTAAAAAATTTAATAACAATCGCGAGTTC